CTTTCGTTTCGCAGTACCTCGTTAAATAGTCAGTAGCGACTACGATGCGGCGATTGCCATCATGTGACTTCGGGAAGGGCAACAGCAAGTCCATGCCGATTCGTTCAAATGGTTGTGACGGGGGTGCAACAGGCTGCAATAAACCAGCAGAGCGCACAGGTGGGGCTTTACGGCGCTGGCAATGATTGCACGTTTTAACGTAATGCTTGACATCCTGAGTGAGCTTCGGCCAGTAGTAGCGAGTCCGAATCCGGGCAAGGGTATGTGCGAATCCTAGGTGGCCGGAGGAAGGCTCGTCGTGGCAGGCAGATAAAATGTCAGCACGTAGCCCTGGTGAAACGATGAGGAGGTATTCAGTCGCATAAGGTTCGAAGTTCATTTTGTAGACGATGTTGTTGCGGAGACAAAATGACCCTGAACGTTGTGACGGGGGTCATTTTACCATTCTTTGTTTAATTCGTACAAAGTGTTTTTTACTGCTTGCTGCATTGTTATCGCACTTGACTTATTCTCTAACGGAGGTCCCCCCGACAGTTCTCTAACTTCGGGACCTCCTCTGTACTGTAGAATTTGGTTCATGTAAATGTATGCATTCCTGAAATAAAGTTTGATTTGATTTGATTTGAACGTGCGAATGCCGTTGGTGGACTCGATCTGTGACCTTGAAGGTATTTGATAAGTTGTCGGATCTCTGAATCATTCCACTGTTGTTGGGCCAAGTCAGATTCACTGACTGCACAAAGAAAATGGTCATCGGTATCATCTTCACTCGATGTCGTCGCGAGGGGCGCGCGCGAAAGGCAATCAGCATCAGTGTGCCTGCCGCCCGACTTGTAGACGACTGTAACCTCAAAATCTTGAAGGTGCAAGCACCACCTCGCGAGGCGCCCTGAAGGGTCCTTGAGATTCGCCAGCCAACAGAGGGCATGATGGTCCGTTACTACTCTGAATGGACGGCCATACAGATACGGTCAGAACATTGTTATCGCCCAAATAACAGCAAGAGATTCCTTCTCCGTGGTTGAGTAGTTAGTTTCCGCAAATGACAGAATGCGACTAGCATAAGCGATGGGACGTTCAGTAATGTCTTGCCAATGGACGAGCACTGCACCAAGACCGATGTTGCTTGCGTCAGTGTGAAGTTCAATGGCGGTATCTTCATCAAAGTGCCCTAGTAAGGGTTCACTCTGAAGGCACTGTTGAAGCTTGGAAAAAGCGGCTCTCTGCTCTGGACCCCACACAAAAGGAGTATCCTCCTTCGTTAAACGGGTAACGAATTTAGCGATATTGGCAAAGCTCTGGAAAAGCGCCTGTAGTAGGCGCAGAGACCCAAAAACCTGCGCAAATCCCCTTTTTTCGAAGGTGGAGGAAATGCAGCAACGGCCATGGCCATTTCTGGGTCTGGTCCAATGCCATCGTGACTGATAAGGTGGCCGAGGAACTTTAGTTCTTCGTAGCCGAAATGACACTTCTCCGGTTTCAGCGATAGGCCTGCGGATCGAATAGGGACGAAGACGGACTGGAGTCGTAAATGTTGCTCAAATGCTTTGGAAAAAACAACGACATCGTCTAAATACACGAGGCAGGATTCCCACTTCAGACCGGACAGGACGGTGTCCATCATCCTTTGGAACGTTGCCGGTGCAGAGCACAATCCAAATGGTAACACTTTGAATTCGTAGAGGTCATCGGGAGTTATGAATGCTGTTTTTTCCCTGTTGCGTTCATCGACCTCGATCTGCCAGTAGCCGCTGCGTGAATCCATTGATGAAAAATATCGGCCATGTTGAAGTCGATCCAGTGAATCATCTATGTGTGGGAGAGGGTAGACATCTCTCTTGGTCACTTTGTTGAGCTTCCCGTAATCGACGCAAAATCGAAGAGTGTCGTCTTTATTTTTAACAAGTACGACAGGTGACGCCCATGGACTGTTCGAGGGTTGGATGACGTCGTCGCTGAGCATCTGTTTCACTTGAAAACGTATTGCCTCTTCTTCTATTTGCGACACGCGGTAGGCGTGCAGTCGTACAGGCCGTTCAGTAGAGTCCGTTATAATGTGGTGCTTCACGGTTGGGGTCTGCTTGATTTTGAAGGTGGACGCAAAGCAATCACTATACGTACGTAAAATCATGCGTATCTGCTGCTGCTGCGAAGAGAATAGCTGGCAATTCACGTCAACTGTACTGGCTAATGCAGTGTAACCTTCGGCAGCAGTGGTGATTGGAGCGATAGTGGAACATTCTTCGTCATCGATGACTTCAAAGCTCGCGATCGCCGTTCGCTTTGCAAGTGTTGGTACTGGCTGCCGAAATTCGTGATCAGAAGCTGAGTCCTCCGATGTTTCAGTTGGACGATAGCACGCGCGACACAAATCTGCCGAGCCAAGAGCACCGATAGGTTAGGTTCCGCGATGCCACTACTCTTGTTGTCACAGTCGCTCTCCACAGCTACCAACATACTGGCTCGCGGCGGAAGTGCGATGGTGTCGTCAGCAATTCGAAGTGTTGTGGTCTGCGCAACTGCATCTCTTCGTAGGGCTGTATGGTCGTTCCATAACGTTATGAGCAGGTCGCGAAGGTTAATAATGGCTTCATGCTCGCGGAGAAAATCCATTCCGAGAATCAGGTTCTGGGAACATTCGCGCAATACAACGAAGGAAACAATGTACGTCGACTCACGATTACGGAGGCGGGCAGTGCACATTCCCAGCGGTGTCAATAGGTGACCTCCCGCAGTCCGAAGGTTGGTTCTATGTCCCCAAGGTGTCATTACCTTTCTTAGCTGTGCAGTGAGGTCAGCGCTTATAACAAAATAATCAGCACTCGTATTTACCAGAGCGGTCAGCGGGTGGTTGTCGACAAGGACAGAGATACGAGCAGAGACACGTTTGTTGTCGCTGGCACACGTCGGTGAAAGGATGTCGTCGGATGTCGGTAGGCAGATCGTGGGAGGGTCTTGTAAGGGTCGATCAACAGCGGCCTCACCCCCAGAGGTCGCTGTTCTTAGTTTCCCCGGCGCGGGCTTGTGGATCTACTCGATCTTCCTGCAAGGACGTCCGCAAAAGTCGATTGTTGGCCAGGTGACGTGGAACGCCGAGGAGACGGTGAGCGGGATTGGTGACACGGAAGGGTTGAGGATCGTTGGCTTGCCAAGTATGCGGCGTCAGCACGGGGCCGCTCACCATCTCTGGGTCGACGAGCATCCGGACGTAAGCCAGAAAGGCCCATGTGCCTGTATGCGCACTCACGGTAGATGTGACCTGGTTCACCACAGTGATAACATAGAGGCCGGTTGTCGGGAGCACACCATACACCGCGAAAAGCTGCTCTTTCACTCCCCGCATTAGGAGGCGCACCTTCTTCTCTTCCGCAATTGAGGAGTCAGCTCGCCTGAACAGCCGCGACATGTCCTCAACGAACATGGCAACACTCTCGTTCAGACGCTGGTTTTGGGAATTGAGGAGCCGTTCCGCTTGCTCCTTTCGGTCAGAGCTTCGGATCCGCAAGTCGTTGCGAAACTCTGGCCAGGTTGTCATAGTGGCTTCAATGTTTTCGTACCTTGTGCGCACAGGGTCCTCGAGATAAAAGTAGACATACCGAAACTTTCGCTGCTCGTTCCACTCGTTGACGCTGCCGCAACGGTTGTAGTCGTCAAGCCAGTCGTCGACATCCTCGTAAGGCTCACCGTGGAACGGCTTCGGGGTTCGCGGGGCGTCGAAGAACCATGGAGGAGGCAACATTGATGTTTCTTGGGTTTGCTTTCCCGCACTAGTCATTGTACTGCCGAGTTGTGGAAATGGTCCGAATTCAGGAGGTAGGCCCAGTTGTCGCCTGCTACGCCGTAGGTCAGCTGGTTCTTCCAAGTCACAACTAGTGTCGGGACCTTGCTGCTGATTGCAGTGCATACAACACTACCCAGCACCTCCACCAGAAAATGTCACGTGATTACAGAACGACCACAACGTCTGTTCACAGGAGCAGCACTGGACGTCGAGCCGAACCGAACGTTAGAGCACGAGCACACCAAACGTCCTCTTCTTTTTTCACACCATGGCACATACTCGCATTGGCATGGCTACACCTGGTTCCTTGCTTGTGGCAATACATATATATATATATATATATATATATATATATATATATATATATATATATATATATATATATATATATATATATATATATATATATATATATATATATATATATATATATTATGACTTCAGGGCGCAACGTTCGCTGCGAATAACGCAGGTATTTATCCTAAGATGTGTCGCAACTACCATGCAAAATAGTTGCGATAAGGACTGATTGCAGAAAACTCCTACTGTCTTATTGACATAGACAAGCCAGAGGCTAAAGGCGTGGTGGTTGAGCGTTGTCGAAGAACTGGCTTTCACCGCGGTCGCGTGCTACATGTTACTCTCATAGACATTTTCCCATTAAGGGCATACATAGTAGAATTGAATATTACAGTTGATTGCTTTATATTATGAGACAAATACTGATGAAGCCTTCTTTTGTGAATTCCATAATATTTTGACGCAGTTACATGAACCAAAATCACAAAACTCATGCACGTTCGATACAGTGTACCTTCACGCTCATTGAATATTCGTAATTTATTGACAATATGTGGTTCGGCACAACATAGAAAAGTATTTCAAAGCAATTCGTACGTGTTTTAATCAAAGCCACAGGAGAAAATGATAAAATAGATTAAAAGTACCCTCAGTGCGTCTAGTTTCTTACAATGGGCTGCAAGTGTTTCTGTTTTTTTGACACACACTGAGCCAAGCTATTGAGTATTATCAATGTTTCTCAGTGCGCTATTAGGCATTGCGATTCACTGTACAGTGTTCCCAGTATCTCAGAGTGAGCGGCAAAGTATTAGGGTGCACTAAAGTGTTTTTGTGCCTCTGAGTTCACTGAAAGTAAGCTAGACGCATTGAAAAGCGATTTCGGTACAAAACTAACCATTAACAATTTGTTTTTTCACAGATGACCGTGGTGCCTGCGAACTATGGGTAAATCACAATTTCTTTGAAGCAAGGCCTGTGATACAAAATTACTGCACAGAAAATTTCAAGAAATATTGCAAACAATACAACGCAACACGTTTTGATATTAAAGACTGCTTTGATACGAGTAAACCCATTTTATTTGGGTGAGTGATGTCGCGCACTCGCGTTTGAGCATGTAGGTCGAACTATTCTTGCAAGTTATCTGAATAAATTTATCTGCTACGCTTCTGTTATGGACTATCTAGAGTTACGATATATATGGGGTTTGCGCACGTTTTCATGCTATTGCTGATAACTTAAGAAAATACATCAATTTATAGCATTTGAAAATTATACTAATCTGCCTCACATGACTAAGAAAATGTCTTAATACTTGGCCCAATTGTTTGAATGGTGATGGTAAATGCGAAGCATTTTTTAGCTAACTTCAGTGAATTTGCTCTATCTATCTATCTATCTATCTATCTATCTATCTATCTATCTATCTATCTATCTATCTATCTATCTATCTATCTATCTATCTATCTATCTATCTATCTATAAGCCGGGATTCGATCCCGCGACCTGCAGGTCAGCAGCCTACACTCTAAAAAAAAAAAGGGGGGCGAGAATGGAGAAACGGGCTCCGTTCCTCCTTCGGCGCAGCGACTTCCTCCCTTTCGGGCGCTTTACCTGTCGCGCCCTCTCGCGGCAAGGACCAAAGGAGCAACGTTTCTCCTTCAGCGTTCAAGTTACTCCTCAATCACGGGGGTCTTAGCTCGCGCGCATGCGCACGCCAAGCCTATAGCCGCCCGCGGCCAGTCGCGAGCGATTGCTTTAACCTAAGATTGTTGTAAGCAATGCAGGAATGACGTTTTCTTTTTGTTTTATTAGTATAGAGTAAAAGCCTCTCTTTTTTTTATCGTCAGGCACTCGCACGATGCTCCGCACACTTCCATGTGTGTCTCGTGTTGTTTCATACTACCAATTTGCCACAAATACAAGGAGCTCTGCTTCCCAAGCAGTCTTGCTTTATCGATTACCTTAGAGTGTAAAAAAAAAAATAATGATTTTTATCGGTGTCGACATACTTGGTAAGCCCACGCATTTTTAGTTTCGCACGGCACCAACAGCACTCATGAATTCAACGAGGCGCGTAAAAAAGCACCACACTTATTTTTTCAATAGTGTAGGAAACCTGATACCACTCTACAGTCCATGCGTGAAAGTACGATCATATACAATTGATAGAGTTATACGTGCCACAACCACCATATGGATGTTCTTTGCAGTTTACCCCCATTCGAATACGGCCTCCGTGGCCGGAAGTCGTACCTGCGTCCATCAGCATAGTCACACGACACCCAATAAGGCTATGCTACCCCGGCAGGTGAAAGCGCAAAGGGAAACAGGCTGCGAAGTTTCACCGAGCGTTTATTCGCCAGACTAGATTAAAGCCATCAGAAACTTTTTGAACATCATCATAACTAAACGTTTGTGAAAAGTGAACCAATGACTTCTGTAGGTTGAATCAAATTCTCAACCGCATTCGTTTTGAATTGCCCATGCCAGCACTGAGAAGTAGGAAGGAATTATGCACGGGAGCAGTATGTCTTTCTCGTCCATGATTCTCCTTTGTCGTGAGAAACTCAACACAAAATGCACTTCTAGTAGCAGCTGTGCACAGCAAGTAAGTACTAACGCTCACTCACCTTTGTGAAAAGAGTATTCCGAATCCAGAGTAATAACCACCACAGCCATAGCGATAACAACAAAATTGTGGCACGCACTATGATTGCAAGTTGACACGCGAGGCGAATCGCGAGAGGCATCTGAAGCAGAAAAGTATGCAGGCACAGCATTCTATAAAGTTATAGTAAACTTGCGCAATGCAGCGATAGTTCCTCCACTCATGTATGAGAGCTCCCGCAACGCCAACAGCCACTGTCATGGCTCACGAAAAAATACCGTCGGATGCGAGGTCATCGCTTGTTTATCTCGCAAGACCCGCGTTGTAACGTACGTATACACTGCTAGGACGGTCGTTACCGCATTAAAACATTGTCATTGAAGGGCTAGTGGTGTACTATATCCATGGCTAACGGCCACACTTGTGGTACGCACGTAAAAAGAATATAAGCAAACGTTAAGACGAAACAACTAAACGAGGTCGACATGACCACAGAACACCTACCACGACGGAGACTAAGTTTGGTCTGCATGCTGCGCCCTCTCCAAGTAAGAAGAAAAAAAAACGTGACCTCCGAAATGGCTAACGCGTGGCAAGTGTTTGCACTCTCAGAGGCTTCAAGAAAAAAAAAGTAACTGTGGCAGTGGTCGACAGATGGCGCAGCGTTCGAATTGCCATGGGCATTCTAAGCACGGCTTGGGGCATCCGCCTTCGTGAAAACCTGATAAGCTCTAGTAATTATTCCGTTCATTACTGTGCAACCATTGATTAACTAAGGTTTACCTAAGCATCAGATACAATACATTTACGTGTGCGCATGTTGTGGTATTGATAAAAACGTGAAAAAAAGTGTCAGAAAACCTACTTGTAACCTGTGCCACTCAGGTCAGTTGAAATTCATCGCTATATAAGCTGGCGCGCTTTCACAGAAGAGTGTGAGTAAACACGTCGAGGTGTGAGCCGTTGGTTTTGAATGGTTGATTGTGCTCTTGTTGCGTACTTGTTAGCGTATACGCTAGTGTACTTGTTGCGTACTATTTGTGGACTATGTGACCATGTGTGCATGTGTAGCTATATAGATTACATCAGCACGTAATAGGCTTTCGGTGTCCGTAAGTGGTCTTGAATGAGTTGATGCGTAAAATATCCGCAAGGGAGCCGTGATAGTGGGTAATAACAACAAACCTCGCGGCAGTGAACTTTTTTTTTAACTTTGATCAATCCCTCCAGATGGCGCCACCTACCACCTACTTCATTGCTTTGACGCTCTCACACCTCCAGCTATTTATATATCGTTGAACATCTATCTATCAAAGCTGCACTACGGATTCGGAATGGTTTCGCTGCGATCGAGTGTACGGTTTGGAGGCACATCTCGTGACCTGCGGACCCGTAAGCGCATGGATAACGTCGCTACACTATGTGAATCTGCGAGAAATAAATACAGCAAGCCTAGCATGCACTCTTCAGGTGAGGGCTCTGCAGAAACCGTGTCTTTCGGAGTGGAACGTGGCTTCGCTGACCGACGAAACGTACTTGCTCCATCGTTTCTCTTTCGCGATGTGTTCACACGCCACAGGTTCGTCTGCTTGTTTTTATAACAATTTCGTTGATATCAAGCTCAGCGGGACCGTTTTTTTTGTAACTTTCAGTGCCGTGTACTCCTTACCAGTCGAGAATCGTTGCATTTGCTAAGCCTACTCGCTTCGCCGGGGGGCAGCCATGTTGATTTTCAATAAGGAGAACGTGTTTTCTCCGTGGATGAGGGGAGCAACGTTTCTCTATTTGAAGACGAACATTGGGGACATCGCCGTTCCTCCCTAAATGGAGAGTACGTCACTTCCATTTTTTTTAAGAGTGTAGTATCCTGAGCTACTAAGACTACAGCGGCGGGGCTATCTATCTATCATCTATCTATCTATCTATCTACTAGCTACTACTATCTATCTATCTATCTATCTAGCTATCTTCTATCTATCTATCTATTCTATCGTATCTATCTATCTATCTATCTATCCTATCTATCTATCTATCTATCTATCTATCTATCTATCTATCATCTATCTATCTATCTATCTATCTATCTAAAAATAGCCGCCTTCATTTTTTTGATCTCGTGGCTGTTTAGCAACAAGATTTTTACCAAAATTGGTATGGCATATCATGACTACGACACCATGAATGTCACGATTTGCATGTCATGGTCTCTGTGCTGTGGCGGTAGTTTCATTCAGATGACGTGTTGCAAGAATGGTAAGGTGTTTCTTGGGGAACCTAAATGACAAGGCTTTACGTGGAAATCGTGACATGCATGTCATATAATTTATGACTACACGCCGCGCTCAAGGTGCGCTCACGGCCGTTTCGTAGCTTCACTTACACCGAATTTCGACGAACGTAAATGACACGTCTAAACATGGAATTCATGCCATGTGTGTCATGTAAGTCACAAATATATACTATGTTCCCAGCGCACTCGCGGCCATTCGGATAGCTTCTTTGGACATTCCTACCATTTAGAACATCACTACATGCTAAGCTCTTTGTGTGCTCATGCCCGTTACGCTGGCTTCACATATACGAAATTTGGTATCAGGTGACATAAGTTGAAGCCGAAGGTAAATGATACGTCTAAACATGATAGTGATGATATTCGTCTTAGCTAAAACATGACTACACGCTACGCTCATAGCGTGGTCGTGGCCGTTTTGCTAACTGCACATATACCAAATCGCATGCCCAATTGGGATGTAAACGCCAAGGGAGTCGAGGCTAGAAGAGAGGGAGTCATGGTGGTGGTGGTAGTGGTTAGAAGATGAGAAAACGAGATCTTATACTTGCATACACTGCCTGCGTCTATGTTGCGAGGCCAGAGAGGGGGATAGAGTAAGAGAGTAAGACATGCGCATGCGCAATAGGCGTGTTGTGTCGTGGGCAGAGTTGCTGAAAAAAGCGAGAAGGGGAGCGAGCATTGGCTAGCGGACGCTGCGTGCTTCGGCGTTGCGAGGCGAGAGAGGAGGGAGCGTTGCAGAAGAGGATGGAAGGATACATGCATCCCCAGTAAGGGTAGTCACGCCACGCATTGGACTGAGCTCGACCATGAGAAGCTTCGAATTTTATTAACTCATGAGTCATGACACATTGTGTGCACCGACCCAATTGTCTTTAGGCGTGTTCGCTTACTGTAACGCCGTTCGTTTACTTGTTAAAGAAGCAAAACAAGAAGCCTAAAAATTTAATATGGTGGCACTGAAAAAAAAATTGGCAGGTCGCACGTACAGTGGGGCTCGATGATATGCGAAGCTTGAATGAGGAATGCTTATATGTCACTTTTTATATGCTTATATGTCACTTTAAAATCAGCGCAACGTTAAGAGGTGGAGGTAAATGATGCCGTACATGATTTTCTTGTCATGAATATCATGTTTGGATGGGTCGTCACGTAATACAAATTTTAGTATATGCGGACCAAGCAAAAGGGCCGCGAGGACGCTATGATCGCGGTATGTTGTTATGTTCTTACATGACACGCGTGTTAGGACTATCATGTTTGCACCAGTCA